GCCTTGAACGTTGAATTACCACTGGGGAAAAAAACAAGTCCAATTTCAAAGGAAAAGACTAAATATTAATAAAGATATGAAAAATTATTTTATTCAAAATATGGGAGATTGGTATCAACAATGCATGCCGCTCTGCGTTGATAGTTTTTACGAGGACATGGTCGAAAACCTAGATAAATTAGTACAGAGAAAAAATAACGGGGGCAGGGGTAGTAAGATGCATGGAACTAAGAAATTTAAATATTCCAATGATCAGCAAGTTAAGGGATGGGAGAGAATGCTACGGAGTGCACATAAAGAATGGTTAAAAAACGGAATGAGGGATGAAGAGAAAAATACAGTGTTGGAAGTGGCTAGGGATGCAGTCAAGTGAGGACGGAGACGCGGGACAAATACTGGCAAGACTTTGCTCAGTTCATTGGTAATACTAAGAACCTTAAAGACATATGGAGAGCAGTAAATAAAATCTGGGGTTGTAAGCCCAAATTCATTGCTCACTCAGATCCTGGGAAGGTTGCTAATGAGTTAGTAGATAAATGGGCTAGTGCTGCTGGTATGGAGTCCTTACCTGCAGGCACGAGAGTCACCATTGAGTCATGGCAAAATATTAGAAATGGAATAACTTTATGTGCTTTAAATACAAGGTCTGTAACATGCACTGAGATAACTCACGATGAGCTACTGGATGCTATAAAAAGTGGCAGCTCTACCTCTCCGGGGAAAGATGGAGTAACGTATGACATTCTTAATTATTTAGCCGGTATGAAACCTAGTCCCTTACTTGATTTGTTTAACATGAGTTATAGGAAGGGAAAGTAATCAAGAAAATGGAAGGAGGCGGTCATCATTCCTATCCCTAAGTCAAACGGAGGCTACAGGCCTGTCTCCTTAACATCCTGCTTTTGCAAAATGATGGAAAGGATTTTGTTAAATAGGCTACTCTACCTTGTAGGTGATAACATGTCCAATAATCTCTTTGGTGTTATCAAAGGCAAAAGTACTACGGATTGTCCTTTAAAGTGTTTGTCTAATGTGGATGACAATTGTAGAGTTTTTGTTGATCTGCAAGGAGCATTTGATAAAGCCAATGGGGAAGTAATCTTATACGAATTAGCCAATCTGGGAATAACAGGGAGATTGCTACATTGGATAAGGGATTATCTACAAGGGAGAAAAGGTCAGGTGTATTACCAGGGATACATGTCTGAGAAACGGAGGTTTCAGTTAGGTACCCCCCAAAGGGGAGTTTTAAGTCCCACTTTATTCAATGTATTAATGAACAGATTAGCATCAGAGATGTATCCTCCAGGGGTCACGACGATCATATATGCTGATGACATTCTTAAACAAGGCACTTCTTGGAACAAAATACAAACTGCTCTTAACATACTTGGTACAACCTGTCACAAGTTAGGCTTAGTTATAAATGCAGACAAAACCAAATATGAGTATAGGAAACGAAGAAATATAAAACTTATTCTAAATGGTGTGGAACTGAGCCGTGTTCAGAAGTACAAGTATCTGGGCATGACATGTGAGAGTAAAAATGCTGAAATAAATCATATCAGCACCTTATGTAAAGCCCGTCTACATCCTCTAAAAGCATTGGCTTTTTCTGGTAAAGATGTTGGAGTACCTATCTTGCGGATGTTATACATAAGCACTGTTCGGTCCCTGATAGACTACGCAGCACCCGTTTTGTCTTACACAGGCCAAGGCAGAATTAAAAAAAATAGAGCTGATACAAAACAAGGCTATGAGGATTATTCTTGGATGTCAAAGAAATGCAATGATTGAAATAATGAGAATGGAATTAAATTTACGGAGTGTGTATGTTAGAGTCCGTGACATTAACGCTAGAGTATCTATTCGTTTCATGTAGAGAAAAGGAGGGGATAAGCTGTTTCAGAGCGTTCAGACCTGCTTGAGTGACGTACACACTTCCAGGAAACTGAGAGAGACATGCTACATGAGGGGATTAGCTCATGACCTCAGGAAATACGATGTACTTGACTGCTGCAAACCCTCTCGACAGTGTAATAGGTCTGCTCCTTGGAAAGTACAGAAAATAGATGTCGAAACTGAACCCCTCAAGGTGAAAAAGATTCATCATGAACCGGGACAATTACGGTGTTTGTATGGAAGCATGATATCTCGGTTACCAAGAGGCAATAGTTTACGTGTATATTGTGACAGGTCGGTGTCGGAGGATGGCAAGGCAGGGTGTGGTGTCCTAATAAGGGAATATAGGGAGTTTGGGACTGTGGACAGGATAATTGAACTTCGACTTAGTAATTATATATCATCCACACAAGCTGAACTGCAGGCCATTCTGGTGTGTTTGGAGGAAGTACGTCATGACGACAGAGATGGTTTTGTATTTGTCGATAGCCGAGGAGCACTTGATTCCTTAAACAGTCGAAATCCGGTCTTCATGTCCATAGTTGAGGATTGTAAGAAAAGGATAACTGAGATACAGCTGAAAGGTCACAATGTGAAATTCATGTGGATTCCATCTCATGTTGGAATAGTGCTCAACGAGGTGGCTGATGACTTGGCCAAACGTGCCACATCAAAACCACAAGTTGACATCGAATGCGAATTCACAATGAGACAAATAAGAAGCAAACTCAAAAATATTCAGGCACAGGCGGGAGTGGCGAGGAGAGGTGTAATGTACGAGGGAAGTCAAACCATGCAACACTACATGTATGTGAGTCAAAACACCCATTTCACTTATGGTAAAAGGAGAAATGCTTGGATTGACTCTGCACATGCGGCTCAGGCTTGGGTACAAATATTACTGGGAATATGGGATAGGTGTTCATGATAATGACACTTTTATGACTTTTTAAGTCAAAAAAGTATTTGTGCGTACGTCCGATACCATACTACGCGTGTAAAGGAGGAATTGTATATGTTTATCTCTCAGAATGTTTGGCAATATGTTCATTGTTTGTGATGTGTGTCTATATATGTATGAACACGTTGTACTGAACGGGGTGAGAATAGCTTGAGGTTATCTTGAGATGATTTCGGGGCTTTTTAGTGTCCCCGCGGCCCGGTCCTCGACCAGGCCTCCACCCCCAGGAAGCAGCCACCGGCTCCTACATCATCCCTTTGTGTGTATTTTGCCACAATAAACTTATTTCAATTTCAATTTCAATTTCCCATATTGGCTAAACAACCGGGTCAACAGCAAATCCCCCATTTTGAACGAGGTACCACACAATGCCACATAAGTCATTTTCACACTACGGTCCAACACTCGCACTGTGCCTGCTCTGTCAGGCATAGGGAATGAGTGTCCCTCACAACGGTCGATGAATTCCTGGAACACTTCCTGTAGCAGAAATTTCACCAACTCGGCGGTTGCAAAGGAGCTGAATGCCCATCACATCTTCCAGGTTGACATGAAGCACCTCAATCGAAGCCATCCCGACCGCCGTATGGTCCACTGATGTAAAAACTTCCAGCCCATCCAAAGAGGACCGCTTAATAGGAAGCAATGACATCCCCATCATGAGCAAGACTGTACCCCACACCAGCAAGGCACCACGCACAGGGCACAAAGTTAGTAGTTAGTTAGTAAACAGTTGATTGACAGTTAAGAGGCGGGCCGAAAGAGCAAAGCTCAACCCCCGCAAAAACACACAACTAGTAAACACAAAATAAGCGCCCAACCATCGACTTCACGTCAAGCTCGTCGACTGAGGACCATATAGGGGCACGTCCGCACCCTCTGGCGGCCAGCAGCAAACTCCTGATTTCGGACTAGTGAGCGAATCATGGGTTTCCCTGTGTCTGGCGCTTGCTTATGAGAGTTTAAACATGTGACTTAATGACATCCTTATAAGACCCAGAAATACAAGCAATTTCTTCTACACAATATATGCCCCACCTCTGCAACCTGCATAAACATAATAATAGTACTAGAAATAATAATAATAATGATAATAATAAATACTCATACCATATATCGTGCAAGCTGCATTAAGCTCTGGCTCTATACCTAAAACTAAAAAGTTTTCTCTCACCTACTGTTCTAATCATATCCACACTTGACCAATTGCTCACGTGTATCTTTCCGTTGTTTTCCTTGTCCCTTGTACTGCAAACCTTTGGTTGTGCCTGCGACCGTCAGAGACTCCTGGGGACAGAGTGGCCTAGTTTTGATACACTTGAGGAGCTATCATGGCTCACGTAACCTATGCAAGGGACCTAGGTCATAAAAGTAAAAGTAAAAGTATTTGTGTGTACGTCTGATAACATACTCCTTGTGAAGGAGGAAATGTATATGTTTACCTCTCAGAATGTTTGGCAATATGTTTATTTGTGATGTGTGTCTATGTATATATTAACACGTTGTACTGAATGGGGTGAGAATAGCTTGAGCTACCTCATCCCTTTGTGTGTATTTTACCTCAATAAACTTATTTCAATTTCAATTTCAAAATGCAAGGGAGACATATTTCCCTCTCCTTTCTTGCATCGCAATACCAGCTCTTAGACTGATTTTCATATACCATCGATATTATTAGTGAAAATTTCATTATTTGAAAAGACAGTTTGGTCTTCATTGATGAACTTGTAGAACTAGTGAACAATGTAATGAGTGTGAGTCGCAGTATTTTAATTCCATGTGCAGGAAGTAGCATGCTCTTGATTGGTTGGTTCAGCAGAGGCATCGCTTGTTGCAGGTCGGCGTTCAATTCCCAATGGTTCGAGTGGCTGGGCACCATTCCTTCACTCCGCCCTATCCCAGATCCTTGTTCTCATATTCTTTTAAAAACTAAGCGCTTTTTCTTCAAAATTACCTAAGCTTCCGAACTATTGCATTAAGAATTTTGTGCTTACTCTACCAAAACTTGTCGGCATTTTCTCTATAACTGTATAAGAATATATTATTTAATAATTTTGTCAACATTACCTCACACAAGGAGTAAACATCAATTTCAAATGTCATAGAGAAGGAAGAAGATTAGAATCTGTTCACCTACCATCAGTATAGATGTAGTCCATGATGGCTTTCAGCTGTGTGGCAGTCTTGATAATGGCCAAGTTCCCCCCAAAACCTTGACATAGTGCCTGGGCGACATCATAGGTGTCCAGCTGGAAGTTAACAAACAGCAGACACTGGTCCCCCAGTTGCAGGTAGGGACAGTCAGCTCGATCATCACTGTTTCTTGAATGTTTTTCAACTCCGTCCAGCACTAAACCTAAAAATATGATGTTTTAAGTTAACTTTTTCATGGCATCAGATGTAAACTTTTCCACTGCACAAGTAAGAATTTTAACCCACTTCAGGTTGTATTTTCTTTACAATACAAGACTTACAAATGATTACATTTTTACTTTTTATCGAAATTTTTTTTTGTGTTTATCGTAAAGCCTATCAACCCCTGGAGGCCACAATAATAATTTAGTGAACAACCGTCAGTTTATTATAATCCAAAACATAGTCCAGGGATATAGTAAACTCTCAGTGTATATTCACCAAGATGGAAATTGCTCCTCTTGACAGAGAAGTAGGTTTTGGAGTTTGGCTTATAAGGCCCGTCAACCTATGGAGAGTTAGTAGTCCAGAAGTTAAGGAAAGTCTAAGTGCTTCTACACACGGAAATATGGTACACCTCTCAGTGCTACACCCTGCTTAAGGGGAGGGGGCATTCTTAAGCCATTGAAATGACTAAGAAGGAAGATCTCTTAAGTCTGGATCATAATCCAGAACTAAAGTAAAGACCTTAGAGCTTCCAGTGCCTCAGCGTTGCGATACAGAGGGGAAATTCACTCTGCATTCAGGGTTCCTCCCCGCAATATCATGAGCTGGAGGAACTCGACAACCTATGATAAAAAATATATACATGTTCTTAAACACAACAACACTGTGACTATTTTTAATTTTCATATTGATATTTTCGATTCTACACTATGACGAGAAAAATAGGTGTTAGTGCAGTCTCTCTAGGCAGATGGAATGTCAGTCACATAAAACAAAAACAATAGCAAAAAAAAGGAAAATTTTTTAAACTGCAAGTTGTCTTCATGTTGTGGTAACTGTAGGATAAGACAGAGGGAAGAAACATTTAAAAATACCTTACTTTAAAAAAATGATGTTAAACAAATTACAAAACAAAATAATATCCAGGCTTGGCTCTAATACAACGTGTGCAAAACAAACAAGATGAGCAATCAAATTTACGTTACGTTACTACGCAAATAAAATATGGTGCTAGAATACTATGAGCCAGACTGAATAAACCTGCTACCATACTAAGATATGTCAACAGGTCTAGTCAGTACAGCACTAAATTGTGGTGGGCTAGGTAGCCCTATATATATGGAATGGCGGCCGTCCAGGTGGAGCTGGTAGTCGTGGATAACTTGGAACCGGCTCACGTTAACTGCTTGTTTCGGCCGATGGCGTGAGCTCCTGGCGACCAGGTGATGTGGGGTGACGGGCCGTGGTGTAGGGGGGAGAATGGTGGTACTGTCTAGATGTCTGGAAAGTAGTTGTTGTTGCTCTAGTAGCTGCAGTTCTTGAATATATAGGCGTGATATGATAAAATAGGTGATGATGTAGCAGGCTGAATCTTATCTAGAGAGGTTACCGTGACAATGCAATTACCTTCTACCATCTGGAGGGTGAAGAAATACTAGATCACCTAATCTTTCCATTTTATTGTTCATCAGCAATGTGACATCTTCAGGAATACAATGCATTCACAACCAACTCAGGTACACTGAGCTTACATGGAGAAATCTATGCGCAGAAAATTAGTCACAATAACGTTGCAGAAAATATGATGACCACACTACACACCAGAAGATGAAAAGACGACGACGTTTCGGCTCGTCTTGGACCATTGTCAAGTCGATTGTGTCTGCTGGATGATTATCCATGATTGATGAAGACTAAGCCATCCAAGAGAGGGAACGGGCATGTTGTGAATGAGATGTTGTGGTATTGAGAATGATATTGCTTAATACCTCCGTCTTGCAAATGAAGTGTAAAACGTCTGCTTAGTGTATTCGAGGTATTCCAATGTAGCATATATTTCGGAGCACACAGTCTCCAGAGCAGCATTTGTATTGACAAACTACATTAGTACACCTCAGTTAGTCAGAGGAGGCAGAGATGTTATTTCATAATGAGGGATGCAGTACGAAAGTTGTTATATTAAGTGATAGAACGAACCCTTGCGTTTTCACTGCACGGTTTAAAATTCCTGTCAATAATATCTCATATCACCTTTTCCTCCTTCTAAAATGCTTGAGTAAATGTATTCTTATAATACACTATAGTGTCTTCCTTTGAACGCCGAATATTCTTCCCTGAGGCCTAATTACCCTTATTCAGCTGGCGGGTTGTCTTCTTACGATTTCGTTGAATTCTGTGTTGCTGTAATAGTTGTTCACAATAATTTGCCGGATTCGTTCAAGTTCATGATCGTGCTTTCTACACCGGCCGGCAATACTACCATGGCTCCAGTCGCTACTACAATCCTGCATGCAAAAGGACTCATTTTCTTCAGTCGACTTCAATGCTTCAGTTGATATCACCAACACATCCACCGCCACCACCAACCTGTCCCCTGCCAACCGAGCATCTTCACCTGAATTAGAATCAAATCTATCGTCGTCCACTTCGACTGAAGCCATCAGATCTCCAAATTCCATATTTTGTGACGGCGTAGAATATCTTCAAAAGAGTGGCCCTCTCTCGACCCCTATGGACAGAGAATATATAATCCGACCCACTTCGACAAGATGCTTTCTGAGGACAATCGAAAGAGAATCACCAGCAAGTGGGTCATAGACGCCCCGTCAGTCAACACTCATTGCGACATTTCCAAATTGGACCGAGAAATCCCTGACCTAGCGTACTACACTCTATACCCACAGCGTACAATAGACGACCATGTCAGTGGGGTGAGGAAGCAAGATCAATCCCAGCTGCAGAAAGCACGTGTACTACGACCCAGAAAATAACATTCCAGCACTGTTGAACCTCCTGTGCGATGAATGCGAGCGTCCTCACGAATTTCAATCAACTACAAAAGATCATCACCAGTTCAAATCTAAAGTGATTGGGCTACCGCTCTGTACCTCGTCCCTCAGCCTTGTCTCCAGTTCCTAGCTGAAGTTCTCGGCATCCCCGTCCCGTCCTCTCATCCCCTGCTTACCACCGGTATCATCTTTGAAACGAAACGAATAATAACTTGAATATTTTTTTTTTTGAGATATATACAAGAGTTTTTACATTCTTGTACAGCCACTAGTACGCGTAGCGTTTCGGGCAGGTCCCTGGAGTACGATCCCCTGCCGAGCAGAATCTTTTTTTCATCCAAGTACACATTTTACTGTTGCGTTAAACAGAGGCTACAGTTAAGGAATTGCGCCCAGTAAATCCTCCCCGGCCAGGATACGAACCCATGATATAGCGCTCGCGGAACGCCAGGCGAGTGTCTTACCACTACACCACGGAGACTTAAGTTCCTAGCTGATTTCTGTAAGAATATATGCATCAAAAGGTGCCCCATTTCTCGTTTATACACAGAGTTTACTGTAGTTCTGGAATATGTCTATTGGTAAATTATACTACCGGTTGGTCAGTAATCTTCTGTGGTGGCCTTAATAACACTACCGTGTTTGATAGACCCTAAGCCCAACTTCCAAGTAACCAATTTCTGCTGATATTTGTGAATTACCTGAACAAGCAGTTGCAAATAAAATAAACTTCCAGTTCCACGTCCATGACGCCATGGCTTCCTAAGGCAGTTGGTTGCTGATTCTTGACCTACTGGAATCAGATAAAATTGTCTATTATCTTTAGACAAAATCCATCTTGTAATACATAACATTTACACATATACTTAAACACACACTTAACAACACACACTTAACAAACACACACTAAACAACACACACTAAACAAACACACTTAAACAACACAACACATATGCACTAACATAGATGTATTACAAATAAAACAAGTTCACTCGGAGAATGGGCTCAAGAAGAAAACCCAGACATAATAGCACTCACAGAAACAAAGCTAACGAAAACCATAACAAATCCAGTGTTTCCACTGGATTTGGATTTGTCCTAACAACAGGACTACTATGTTGTGGGGAAAGAGAGAGAAGGGAGAGGAGGAGGTGGTGTAGCTTTGCTGATAAGAAAAGGTTGGAGTTTTGAAGAGTTGGTTAATCAGAACTGTGAAGGTTTCAGTGACTACAAATCAGGCACCATAGCAACTGGAGGACAGAAAATTATAGTAGTAGTCATATATAGCCCCCCACCAAACGACAGAAGACCCAGACAGGAAAATGATAGAAACAACATGGCCACCATCAATATAATAGAGAGAGCAGCTTCTGTGGCTAGCAGGAACGGAGCCAGACTACTAATCATGGGAGACTTCGACCACGGGAAGATAGATTGGGAGAACAGAGACCCACATGGAGGACCAGACACATGCAGAGCCAAGCTGCTGGATGTGGCAACAAGAAACTTTCTAAGTCAACACGTCAAGGGACCGACAAGAAGGAGAGGAGAGGATGAGCCAGCTTTGCTTGATCTGATATTTACCCTAAATGAGTCGGACATGAGGGAAGTTAATTTGAAAGCCCCCTTGGGAATGAGCGATCATAGTGTATTGAGCTTTGAGTACCTGGTTGAGCTAGGAATTATCTCCCCAAAAAAAGAACTGGGAAACAAAGGGCTGGTGTACCGAAAGGGAAACTATGAGGAGATGAATAAATTCCTAAGGGATGTACCATGGGATACAGAACTCAGAACTAAGTCCGTACAAGACATGATGGACTATGTCACCCAAAAGTATCAGGATGCGGTAAACAGGTTTATCCCGGCCCGACAGGAAAAAACCGAGAAGCAAAAGAATAATCTGTGGTTTAATAGGGAATGTATAAAAGCAAAGGAGCTGAACAAAAGGGCGTGGAGGAACTTCCGTAATAACAGAACACCAGAAAGTAGCGAGAGATACCAGAGAACCAGGAACGAGTATGTTAGTGTGAGAAGGGCAGCTGAGAAAAGGTATGAAAATGATATAGCTAATAAAGCCAAGACCGAACCAAAGCTACTCCACGTAACATCAGGAGGAAAATAACAGTGAAGGAACAGGTGATGAAACTTAGAACTGGTGAGAAAGAGAATGACAAAGAGGTGTGTGAAGAATTCAACAAGAGGTTCCAGGAGGTCTTTACAATAGAACAAGGAGAGGTCACGGCGCTAGGAGAGGTGGCAGCAAGCCAGGCGACCTTGGAAGGGTTCGAAATTACAAGAGATGAGGTCAGGAGGCACCTGTTGGAGCTGGACGTGAGAAAGGCTGTTGGGCCGGACGGAATCTCGCCATGGGTATTGAAAGAGTGTGCAGGAGCACTTTGAACAAATAGTGTAGTATAGTGTCAGGAGCACTTTGATTGCCACTCTCCATAGTAGGTCATTGGAAATGGGGGACCTACCAAAAATATGAAAGACGGCTAATGTAGTCCCAATATACAAAAAGGGTGACAGACAAGAGGCACTGAACTACAGGCCAATGTCCTTAACTTGTATACCATACAAGGTGATGGAGAAGGTCGTGAGAAAAAACCTAGTAACACATCTGGAGAGAAGGGACTTCGTGACATCCCAGCAACATGGGTTCAGGGATGGTAGATCTTGCCTTAGAGGCTTAATAGAATTTTACGATCAGGTGACAAAGGTTAAGCAAGAAAGAGAAGGATGGGCGGACTGCATTTTTTGGATTGTCAGAAAGCCTTTGAAACAGTACCCCATAAAAGGCTGATGCATAAGCTGGAGAAACAGGCAGGAATAACTGGTAGGGCGCTCCAGTGGATAAGGGATTACATAAGCAATAGGAAGCAGAGAGTTACAGTGAGGGGGTGAGACCTCAGATTGGCGTGAAGTCACCAGTGGAGTCCCACAGGGCTCTGTACTCGGACCTATCCTGTTTCTGATATACGTAAATGATCTCCCGGAGGGTATAGACTCATTCCTCTCAATGTTTGCTGACGATGCCAAAATTATGAGAAGGATTAAGAGAGAGGAGGACAGCTTGAGGCTTCAAGTAGACCTGGACAAGCTGCCGGAATGGTCGAACAAATGGTTGTTAGAGTTTAACCCAAGCAAATGTAATGTAATGAAGATAGGGGTAGGAAGCAGGAAACCAGATACAAGGTACCATTTGGGAGATGAAATACTTCAAGAGTCAGAGAGAGAGAAAGACCTGGGGGTTGATATCACGCCAGACCAATCCTCTGAAGCTCATATCAAGAGGATAACATCACCGGCATATGCCAGACTGGCTAAGATAAGAACGGCCTTTAGAAACTTGTGTAAGGAATCTTTCAGAACATTACAGACCATATATGTCAGACCAATCCTTGAGTATCCGGCCCCAGCATGGAGTCCATATCTAGTCAAGACTAAACTGGAAAAGGTTCATAGGTTTGCCACCAGACTAGTACCCAAACTGAGGGGTATGAGCTACGAGGAGAGACAACGGGAATTAAACCTCCAGTCACTGGGAGACAGAAGAGTCAGAGGGGACATGATCACCACATACAAGATTCTCAGAGGAATTGATAGGGTAGATAAAGACAGACTTTTTAACAAAAGGGGCACACGCACTAGGGAGACATAGGTGGAAATTGAGTGCCCAAATGAGCCATAGAGACGTTAGAAAGAATTTTTTCAGTGCCAGAGTAGTAGTCAAATGGAATGCATTAGGAAGTGATGTGGTGGAGGCTGACTCCATACACAGCTTCAATTGTAGATATGATAGAGCCCAGAAGGCTCAGGAGCCTGTACATTAGTTGATTGACCATTGAGTACCGGGACCAAAGAGCCAGAGCTCAACCCCCGCAAGCACAAGTAGGTGAGTACACATACTCACATTGCCATTTTTTATCAATATCTTCCTGAAGTGAAGTTAGAAATTTTGAAGGAAAAAAATGGACTTTCCTTGTCATATGCCTGCATGAAGTGTATGGCTGAACTAACACACAAACATAAAAAATAAGTAGTGCCATCTCACATATAATACATATTACAAGGTCATTCTCAAGTGAGGAATAATAGAACAATCTTCACTTGAGAATGAACCTTGTAGGTTCCAAACGTTGAGTAAAATATGTAAACAAATTATATAGTAAGTTTTTGTTCTTTTTGTCCATCTTGAACAAATATGGCATTTGAAAAAATCCTCTTCCAATTAAATCAAGCTGCAAGGGCACTAGTTAAATGGATAGAAGCCCTAAACAAAAAAATAATCAACCTGGAACATGAAGTCATATTGTTTGTGTCTGCAGACTTAACACCTTTGTTAAGAAGTGTTAAGTCTGCAGACATAAACAGTGCTCTCTTCTGTCATGTTAGAGATTCTAATCATCCTATTGATTGGTCTTCCTATAAAAAAAATCTTTCCTCCCTCTACACAGACGCCGCCTCGTGGACTCGGTTCTGATACACAATGTACCCAACATGAACTTGAGTCCTGGCTTTGTTGCTGTTGACTCTTCCCTTTCACAGTGTATACTCAAATGTTCTAAACTTTCTAACAAACGTGACCTAACATAAGTCTACTCTTCCTTTTATCTTTCTTTTTCTTTCTCTTGTTTTCTCTTACGATACCTTTCTTATTCCTATTATTACACCCTCTATTACACTTTACCTTCCATACCTTTAGCCTTGCTATTATCTTCCTCTGAGATTTCAATCTCCTCAACTCTCTCTTGCCTATTTATTGCCCTTGCCTCCTCCGTCTCATCACAATCTACTTGATAATGGTCCAGGACGGATCGAAACGTCGTTGTCAATTCTAGTGTGTGGTTTGGTCAAAATTTTTCAGCCACGTTATTGTGACTCTTCATCTACATCTAAGACACTGGTACTCTGTGATGCCCACTTTCCCTTGCTGTCCTAACCACAGGCTTATAATGTTAATTGGTTTATCCTGGGCTAGTGTTGTGCCTGCTTTTAATTCTTTTAGTTAAATGCTCTTGTAGTTTGCTACTAAGGATGTCATATTTTTCTGTAAAGGAAAACACTACAGTCTCATGGTTTAGAGAGTCCCCTAGGACATTTTGGGTTAAATGTCTGTTGTTTTGACCGGATAGCCTGTTGGATTGTCTAATTAAGTTTATGCCTTTTTTCTTTACATAAATGTTGATGAAATATTTTTGTTGTTAAAATTCTAGTATCAAATATATATTCATAGATTACTTTAATAATTAACATTCAATAGTAAGTCATTTATGAAACTGAAACTCTAGACAAAATATTTATCAGCCTCAGCCTGTGATGAATATGAAAGATTTTATTCAACAGAAGGATAATTCGGCAAAGTTATAAATTCCACAATAGGAAGACAAACCATAAGACATGTAATCAATACTGATACACACAGAGTAATCACACTAACGTGATGCATCAGTGAGAAATTCTGTTGGAGCTGTGGTGAGGATTCGAACCTATGCAGTGGATGTTCTAACCCACACGCCCCAGACAACCAGGCCACGACATGGTCAAAAGGAAAGTAACCTAGAGTTCTACTGAACACACAAGGATTTCCTGAGGCTTCCACTGAAGCCTGAACAGGATTTTTACACACCCCCCCCCCCATGCACTCTGGCTCTGTCATCCAGGCATACACAGAACTCTTTCAATACACAGAGTGTAATCACACTAACGTGACTGCATCAATGAGAACTTAAGTAGGAGCCTTGATAAGGGTTCGAACCTGTGCGGTGGGTGTTCCCACACATACAAGAGAATGTAACCATGTTGGTCCGAAAATAAGTGATTATTTACTATCCTTAACTGTGCTCAACTCTTTAAGACATAATGGAAACATGCTCGTGTCTGAAGCTAAACACAAATACAACAAAAAAATTCTGAAGGTGACATTCCATTTCATGTTCTAGATAAACTAAATGTCATCTTTGTTCTAGATAAGCTAAAATAATATTTAACTGTTGAATGTATTATACATATTATAAATATAGAACAACATTTCGAACCGACATGGTTCATTCTGAACTTATCCAATTTAAGACAACATTTCGAACCTGCATGGTTCATTCTCAACTTATCCTATTTAAGGTGATTAATAGCCCTAGATTGTGTGCTTCTTTTTCTATATGTAGGATTTCAGTGATGAGTTTCACAAGAAATCACTTCTAAATTCATGGATTGTGAAATACTAAAGAAATTGTTCACGGCTTTTGTTAGACCAATAGCTGGAATATGCAGCGGTTGTATGGTGCCATATCTTGAGAGGCACATCAACAAACTGGAAAAGGTACAAAAACATGCTACTAAGTGGCTCCTAGAACTGAAGGACAAGAGCTACGAGGAGAGGTTTTGGGCATTTAATATGCCAAAACGAGATGAGAGAAGAAAAAGAGGCGATATGATCACTACGTACAAAATAGTAATGGGAATCGATCAAATTGACAGGGAAAAATTCCTGAGACATGGAACTTCAAGAACAAGAGGTCATAGATTTAAACTAACTAAACAAAGCTAGAACTACCCACTGCCTAGATTCGAGCCTTCATCTAGGTTCTTAGGAAATTTCTCATTGGTGCACTCACGTTAGTGATTACTCTCTGTGTAGTGAAAGGAGCGTCAGAGGTAGAACAAGCCTGGACGACAGAGCCAGAGTGCATGGGGGGATTGTGTGAAAATCCTGTTCAGGCTTCAGTAGAAGCCCCAGGAAACCCTCGTGTCTTCAGTTGAACTCCAGGTTGCAATTCTTATACCTGTCGTTGACTGATTGTCTGGGGTGTGTGCATGGGACTACCAACCCCATAGGTTTGAACCTCATCACTGCTCCAACGGAATTTATCTATAGTGACTTTATAGCAGTCAGATGGTACGTCACACGAATAAAATATTTTAACTTTGAACAGTAAAGATTCTTCCAGGAAAATGTCTAAACTTAATAAATACTATGCATAAATGATGCACCAGTCTTACCTGGAGTGTATGTACAGTGTAAGTACCCGAGGCAGGTATCGGGGAGAGCTGGTGGTGCAGCAGGTGATCTTTACAGCGTCACGGGGAGATAAGAGACAGCCCTCTCACGCTGCACATGTTGTGTTCCCTTCACTTCCCCGCCTCATATCATACTTCCTCTTCAAGGAAAACACACCCACCTCCCACACTGATATTGAAGACACAGATTATGGGTACATCTACGCGTTACCATGGGAAATAAAGATGGTGTGGAATGTCTTCAAAGTGGGATGGAAGGATAAGATTGGGGTATTTATCTGTACATTTGCATGGGAGTTAAAAGTGATATTATTCCACAACCTCTGATGGAAGTGCATGAACGTGTTATGGGTGGACTACACACCTCTGAGCACTAATGTAATGGGTGGACTACACCCCTCTGAGCACTACAGTAATGGGTGGACTACACCCCTCTGAGCACTACTGTAATGGGTGGACTACACACCTCTGAGCACTACTGTAATGGGTGGACTACACCCCTCTGAGCACTACTGTAATGGGTGGACTACACCCCTCTGAGCACTACTGTAATGGGTGGACTACACCCCTCTGAGCACTACTGTAATGGGTGGACTACACCCCTCTGAGCACTACTGTAATGGGTGGACTACACACCTCTGAGCACTAATGTAATGGGTGGACTACACCCCTCTGAGCACTAATGTAATGGGTGGACTACACCCCTCTGAGCACTAATGTAATGGGTGGACCATACCCCTCTGAGCACTAATGTAATGGGTGGACTACACACCTCTGAGCACTACTGTAATGGGTGGACCACACCCCTCTGAGCACTACTGTAATGGGTGGACTACACCCCTCTGAGCACTCCTGTAATGGGTGAACTATACCCCTCTGAGCACTACTGTAATGGGTGGACTACATCCCTCTGAACACTCCTGTAATGGGTGAACTACACCCCTCTGAACACTACAGTAATGGGCGGACTACACCCCTCTGAACACTACTGTAATGGACAGACTACACCCCTCTGAACACTACAGTAATGGGCGGACTACACCCCTCTGAACACTACTGTAATGGACAGACTACACCCTTCTGAGCACTACTGTAATGGGTGAACAAGACTCCTCTGAGTATTGTGACCCCAAATCGATATGAACAATTAGTTATGGCTCCTCCAAAGTATAAGGGAGGCAGAAGCATTTATGATTGAGGTGTATGAATGAGAGGAGTTTGAAGGCTGGTATGGTGACGGGATGTGGCGTTATGGGACGCCAGTATGTGTCGAGTCTCCTAAGAGCTGCCGCAGTTATGAGGATCTGAAGGTAACTAATATGACCCCGCAATGACTGGAAACTGGTAGTTAGGTGTGGCTAATGAGAAGGAAATTTGACGACTCTTTCCTGACTGGCGAGTACTCGCACAGCTCTCTTGATTTCATTGACTATTGCAAGGTTTTCTACCTGTTATTTACTAAGGCTTTGTAGTGTTGTTTTTTAATCGGTGGAGATCACTGCACCGTTTTTGTTTCAAGGAATCTTAATGCCATAACAATGACAGTTAGCTTTGCTTGCATTGAAGAAGCATAGTTCTCACTACGTGCTTTTTCTTCCTTTCCACATTGAAAAGTATTATTCCTAATTACAGTGTATGCTGCTCCAACCCTTGCCATTGGTAGGCTATATATGACCCATCAGTGTAGATTTGATCAAATTTATTTCCGTCTTCTTTATTAATTTTCTCAATATACTTATGAATTATTTATTGTAGTATCATGTTGGAATTTTTCGTTGTCATGTCGTTTATAATAATCTTACATGGGTCCTCCTCCCAGAGGGGTATTACCCCCTACCCCTGGAGGGAGGAGGACCCATGTAATAGGTTACTCCTGCCTCTCATAATGGTTGGACTCATAATGACCCTCTAAGGGGGTCACTCGTGCCTCTCTACAGGCAGCAGCTCGAGGGCTTGCTCAAGCAGGTGAAGTTCTTCGAGGTAGACTGATCTGTGACACCATTTTTTGCTTTTTCTGTTTTCTGCTGTACGTGTTTTTTTCTTGGCAGTATCATTGTAATGAGAGTCTCTGGCTCTCTTAGTTCCAAGCTTAGTATTTAGTTCCTTGAACCTGCGGTACATTGGATGAATGAGAGTACATTGAATTCTGAGAGTACATAATATTGGTTTTCTTTCATTCTTGCAAAGCTACTAACATGCGTACCGTCTCTAGTAACAATAAGTTTAATAAGAGGTATATTGTAGCAAATTTTGAGTTTAACATTGTAACTACAATATAAATTGACCGGTATAATTACGCTTGTGACGATGCATGTCTTAGGTTCTAATATTAGGGAAATGGATAGTACAAGATGTGTGTTTGAAGCACAAGGTAGGAAACTATGAGGATGAAATTAGGTACTTTTTAGTTTTACTTTTGATTAAGGCAGTTGGACAGATTTTTTAATTAATTTGGGAGTGAGTTCCATAGACTCGGTCCTTTTATATGCTGTTTATTTACATATTTACTTCATCTCTAACCGGCTTCACCACCAATCAACACAATCCTTGTCTCGGGAGATCAACTTGACTCAAATTACTGTCCTTTTATTAATCATTTTCAGAACAACACACACATATTACTCACGATATCACCTCACAAGTTCCACCACGGGTCAGCCCACATAATGGGAGGGGAAGATAAGCCATTTAGGAAAAATGTCACCTTGTCCGAGCCACCTGTGGCTACGCTCCTCGACTGCTCAAAGAGGACTCCAGAACAGAATTGCCTCCCCCCACCATCATTGAACCAGTATGTGATGTCTGCCTCATCTGTGACATTCCCTCTGGCCCTCCTCAAGACAATCTTTTGGCTCTTAGCTTCCGATCACGCCCGGTCATACATGTTACCGTCAGGTCCTCGTAACTGCGGCAGCTCTTAGCGGACTGGACATATACTGGCACCCCAGTAATGTCTGGTCGTGTCACCATGCAGCCTCCGTACACCCATGCTGCTCAACAGTAAATACTTCCGCTGGCCTCATACTTTGAGAGAGCTTTACGTAATTATTCATATCAATTTCGGTCATAACATGAGAACTACTGTAATGAGAGAACTGGACTCCTCTCGTCACAACTGTAATAGATGGACAAAATTACTTTGGAGCATTACAGTAATGGACAGATTAGAATCCTCTGAACAATACTGTAATGTGCTGAGTCGACTGCTCTGAACATTGCTGTAATGGATATACTAGACTCCTTTGATCACTACTGTAATGGGGCGATAACACTCATCAGCTAATTCTTCCTAAAAAGTAATGAAGATGGAAAAAGAGAAAGGAGACCAGAAGGTATCTACACCTCAAGAGGAAGGAACTACAGGCTCGGTGAGGGAAAAGACCTTGGGAGTGGGTATAGTTCTAGCACACTCTCCAGAGCCACACATAAACGGGGTAACATCGGCAGCATATGGGACGCTGGCAAACATTAGAACATTGTTTAGAAACATAAACCAGGGCTCTTTCATGGCAATCTACGCAGTCTTTGGTAGACCACTATTGGAATCAGTAGCACCAGCTTGGAACCCCACACTGTGAAGTATAAAACCAAAATGGAAATGAATAAATGTTTCAACATCATTAGTGCCATAGCTAAGAGAGCTTTGCTATGAGGATAGGTTAATGGAATGGAACTTCGCATTCCTGGAGGAAAGAAAAAACAGATGGGACATGATTAGAACATACAAGATTCTGAGGAGAATTGACATGGTGAGGAAGGACAGTCTCTTTAAAGTGAGGAAAAGTATGATGTGAGGATGTAAGTGGAAAATGGAAACACAAATGAGTCTATGTAATAAGTAAATACACATACTCTGTACAGGAGGTCAACAAGGGGAATACAGTGAAAGAAGAAGTTATAGAAGCCACCTCCCTCCACAACCATAAGACTAGATTTAATAAAGCATTCGACCATCAGTATAATTAGATTATAATAACTAGGGTATTAGGCGGAGCATATAAAGAGCTTGACCTCACTTCCCCGTAGTCGCCGTTGGGTAGGTAGTGATAGGGTGATAGGAAAGCACCCTCATCTTCCAAGTCAGGATTATATAGTCGTATATAATCCTGACTTGGATTATATACAACTATAACCTTCCATGTCAACGTGCAGATATATACTATTACCTCTTCACTGCCCAGGTCAGTGTGCAGATATACTTTACCATCTTCTGCGATGACAGCGTGTAGATATTCAATAACATTTTTAACTCTCATGACAGTGTGGGAGGTGGGTGTGTTTACCATGGAGAGGGCGCTTGATAGGGGGCGGGGAAGAGAAGGGAACACAACATCTGTAACATAAGAAGCTAAATCTTATCTCCCGTGACCCAGAACCGCCAGCTCCTCCACCACCACCTCTTCCTGGTCTCCGCTTCAGCTACTTGCACACTACATACACTCCAGGTAAGTTTGGTGCATAATTTCTGTATATTATTTATTTATTACATAATATTCTTGGAACCATCTTTACTGTTGAACTCTATTAAGTTAAATGTTTCCTGTAAAGTTTGTAAAGTTGTTTTGGAATGCGGCCTTGTTCCATATTTGAGGGCCTTCTGGTGGTTCTAATTATCTTACAAGAATATTAACCAGAAAGTTTCAGCACACATTTGGCTACTATCAAGTTCCTTGCACATCCAATATTTCTTGACAGTTTATAGTCGAGTGAAGAAAGTGTCATTGTGCGACAGCTCTGTTCATGAGTTCGAGACCCTAAGTTTTCTCTTATGTTGATTTGTTACACTCACCATATTGTGATTATCAGTTTATTTAAAAAATAATAAAGAGGAACAATACACCACGATGCCTTGTGTTATAGGGACAGGTTTGTTGTTTAAGAAGAGGATTTGTATGCTAGTACATGGTGCTCAGCTCATGTCAGTGTTAGGTCAACTCTTGCCAAGTGTAGATATGTTAGACACTTGTTTATTCTTTCAATGAATATGACGATGCATTTGTGTCAGGATCCGCATAAACTTTGTCTTTCTCTCTGTACTTTGATTGACAATCTAAGAGAGAAAGCACAATGTTTGTGAGTCTGTGCTAAAGAATAACAAAGATCGCAGCAAAACGAGACATCGGGGAAGCTGGAAAGAGGTGAGAAGATGAGACAAAATCCTCAGAGAATAAAGGTGCTGAAACTGTAGTTAAGACGACAACCACTTCAGCAGTACATTCACAAGAGTTCATTGAAGACGTAGTAAAGAATACGAAAGTTTGAATATCAAATATATCATTGTATATGTTAACAATAAGGACAAGAGGAGGATTACATAATAGCTGAATATTAATACAAATTCTTTGGTTCCCGGTATAGTGGTTATGATTCAGGAAAATTTAAGAATGAGGCATTGATCATATATTATTTTCCCTGAAATAGGATTTGCCGATGAATGGTTATCAAGGGCAGTTTGCTTGAACTGCCTCCTGCTGGCTGGAATAAATTAATACCTAATGATTTTATTGAACCCAAAATATATTGGTGATATTAATCAGCTCCTATCAGTATTCCAATATCCCTTATTTGGTCGGGACCGATTGGAGAACCTGCTAGTTTAAATCCTTTATCTTTTAGGAATTTAGAGGTGGCTTTGAGACCATACACATGTTGGTCTGTCGGAACTTTGTCCACCAATATTACTATGATTGTCTATTGGCATGTCCCTAGCCACTGCACTGCACAGAGCGTCTTGTGACGCTGGATCGAGGGCGTGCAGAACACCATGTGGCACTTTTAAATATAGGGAACGATTCAAAACTCCCGCAGGTACACGTAGTTCACATCCTGCATCTCACGACTCCTGTAAACAGACGCCATCTTGAAAAAAAAAACGTCAGCATACGTGAGAGCCTAAATATTGAGAAAGCGACCAAGGGTGGTGCATGCAGGAGCCGCACACAGCACCGCTGTGCAGCTACGGGCCACAGCACCACTTAGTAATGATAAATAAAATAGGTAACTGAAGTTATTCTGCGTTGATAGTGTTATAGATGATCCCGACTGTCATAAAGACTATGAAGAATGTTCAGATATCAATGAACACATTGTTAGTTATGATATTCACAGCATGAGGTAGAGAGACACAGCACCCAGTCTTTGTTTCCTGCATCTGCGCATCATGAAACGACCTAATGTTTCGTCACCAATGTTCATTTTGTTATGGAAATGGATTCATATTCGGAAATTTGTGACAGGAATGTGATAATAACAGCAGTTTTGTAGCTAGTCATAGTGAGATGAGTAGAATATTGGTGTCATTGTCTTGCATCATGTGACTGCTGGCGTCGTTTGCTTGAGGCTCCCTGCTGTGTTTTCATTTCATTACCATATCCACCAGAACTGCTTATTAGTATGTAATAGTGTTTATAAACGTTGATAGTGATATGTAACATCGTATTTAGCGTAATAACAGAATAACAAACAACAAGAACACTGGCAAATCTAAGAATATAATATATGTCACCATGAATGAGCTCCATATTTTTGAGAATAGCAAAGTTCCACACATTTAACTATTGTCGGGGTTCACCACCATAAGAGGTGCGAGTAACAGTATACCCAAGGTCACTCACCGTAGCCCTGCGGGTCTTCACTCTATCCTCACGGCGCCACTGTACGCCAGAAGAGTATCCCAGTCAATCCCAACCGGCCTCTGATCGAGAAAGAGTGGGAACACAACTTGTTCTCTTAACTATTGTGTGCCCGCCCCAACACAGGGCTCTACTACTAACCACAAGGTCGCCAACTGGTGTTTCCCGTGTCCAGTAACACGTCAGTGGTTTCGTTGAATTGTGGTAACAGTGGCAAGAGCACACTCAATATGTCTGATATCAGGCATGTAGTTATTTCTATCACTCTATTTCCTTTCATGTATTATATAGCCACAAGAAATATGGAGGGGATGATATGAACACCAGGGTCTTTTGTATTTTATTTAAAACTCATTCAAAGACATCACAAGATTATATCAATAAGCAAACAGCTGTTTCAGGCGGAAGTCGCTCGTTCCCACATATAATCATGAACTCGCCAAGCTGGCAATGCTCCCCCTCACGTCAATGTCAAAATCAGCTGGGCGACTCCCACCGCGCGAATGTTCGTTTATTTGTTTGCCTGGCGTGAGGTGCCTGTTTCTTTAAATTCGCATGAGTCACTATATTTGTCATCAACACAATACTTCTATAATGGCAAATAGAACGCAATGAATCACCACACTGATCTCAAGTTCAATAACTCATTCCTACAGCACTTAACGTGATATTTCACTGTACTAGAGTAATGCACTGTACTTAATAATAATTACAATGAATGCACTTAACCACGGTACTGTTCTTAGATTCAGTAATTCCTCTCGTAGGCGATAACACAATTAATCACTGCACACATGAATGATTATTCAATACACAAGCACATACTTATATATATATAGATGAATCATAGACATCAATAATGGTAATAACATAGTTACTGGGCACATAGCCTAACACCAAATACTGGCATATTTATATATATATACTCTCTCAATAACTAATCATATTAAAGTCTCATGAAAGACATTATCAACACAGTAAATTCATCAATTACTCCGGGTGCCTGCACACACCAATAATAATCATAAATATCGTGAGTGCTCTATGTAGCCCCACTGCACACTAGTGCCTTACTGTGACATAGGTGAGCCTTGCTCACGACATACAAAATACTCTGGCTAAGTAATATAGCTGACTAAAGGGGAATTGGGAGGGAAACTAGAATCACCTACTTCCACCTATCCTCCGGTGAGAGTCGAGTTGTAGCTCCTGGTCCAGGCTCCTGCCTCGTGTAGGGAACGCCCCCACACACACCCTGTCGTGTCCTCCAGGAACTCAATCAACGTCCCACCATAAACGCGTCATCTCCGTGCCTTTCCACTGCAGGTCCGTGCTCCTCCACGACTTCTTGTAGGGTTGGAGTCGGTCTCCTGGCCGTCAACTTCTCCTCCCAGCTACGGCTGCCTGCCTACGTCTCGGCTGCAGTCGTTCGGATTCCCGATTAGTGTCTTCTTCACTGCTTCCCAGTGGATTGGCCCAGCCGCTACGTCGTCACTGTGAAGCTATCAGACGTCCCAGACGATACTGCCTAGACTTCACCTACACAGCACCCGACCCTGGAGCACTTGATGCTCAAAATTCCGTCAATTCCCTCTTCGGTCCACACATGGAATGAAGGAAGACCTCTGGCGTACTTGCAGACTACGGGTGACGCGTAAGATCCACGGAAGTGGCGTGTTACTGTCAGATTGACAGGATCAATCTTCACACATCTGACCACCTTAACGTGTCGTGTCAGACTGATTCCCTCACGGAGGATTGGCCCAGCCACTACGTCATCACTGTGAAGCTATCAGATGTCCCAGACGATACTGCCTAGACTTCACCTGCACAGCACCTGTCCCTGGAGCACTTGTTGCTCAATATTCTGTCAATTCCTTCTTCGGTCCACACATGGAATGAAGGAAGACCCCACAGGTGCCGGCAGACCACGGGTGATGCGTAAATCCTCCGGAGACGGGGTAAACCGTCCAACTGACGGGACCCCCCCCCCCCCCTTAGCGCACGTCCCACCTCCTTGACGTGCTGTCTTAGACGGATCGCGCCAGAGTCGCGCACTGACCGGACCCCCTTCCTTCGTGACGTCATATTCGCCATGGGAGGTTTTCATTGGCTCCCTGTGCCACGTCGCTGTCGGTGACCAATCTGGTGTCACTGACGTCACACAGTTTTGGCGGCAAAACATAAGAGCCAGCGCCATATTGGCTTCCTAAAGGGCCTATACCACAGGCCAAAATACTCTTCTTTTATAAATTTCTCGGCACTTCGAGAACACTACACTCTCCCACATATATCAAACTGATGCCTGCGACGTAGAGAACGCTTGGGTAAAGTGGACATGACTCTTACAGCAGGCGTGGGAGAAATATAAGAGGGGGAACACCGTCACACTATATACATTCCATATATTACACACTATTGAATAAAATTACTGCAAAAATCTAGATATAAAACCATTCACAGACACTGAAATAATTATGTAAAAATGTATTTGGTGTAGCCTCTGCCACACTTAACTCTCGGCCGTTAGGCTGACCTTGAATTCTTGTTCTGTGTATAAACTTTCAACACACGATATTTGTGGTTCATTATGGTGCGCACACATGTAGATAGGTATATACAACGTGTGAGTGTATAGTGTAATTACAGCAAAAACACTGTTTGATTGATCGTAGGATACATGTCACATACATGAGCCCCATAATTTTGAGCATAGCGATGGTCCACACACTGAACTATATAAATTTCACAAAAAAACACGCTTTTTAATAATATTACCGGAAAAAAAACAGAAGAAACGAATGAGAAACATC